TGTGTGTGTGTGTGTGTGTGTGTGTGTGTTTGTGTGTGTTTGTGTTTGTGTTTGTGTTTGTGTTTGTGTTTGTGTTTGTGTGTGTGTGTGTGTGTGTGTGTGTGTGTGTGTGTGTGTGTGTGTGAGTGTGTGTGTGTGTGTGTGTGTGTGTGTGTGTGTGTGTGTGTGTGTGTGTGTGTGTGTGTGTGTGTGTGTGTGTGTGTGTGTGTGTGTGTGTTTGTGTGTGTGTTTGTGTGTGTGTGTATAGGAGGGAGAGAAAGGTATGGCAAAGTGATCCCACCATCCTCTCCAGCAAGACTTAACAAATTTCCCCACTATTAAAAAAAAAAGAGAGAGCATACCCTCTCTTAAAACACGTGTTCATATTATACACAGTGACAATCAAACAAATGACACAGAAAAAAAACACACATAAAACACTCACAAACACAGCATGCAAAACACACTACAACCCTCCCCTCTGACACACAATAAAAATAAACGAAAAAAAAAAAAAAGACTTTGAAGACGACCACCTCCAAATCCCCGCCTGCGGTACCATAACAACCACGTTACCTGTATTTTGAGAGTTCATGGAAGCCAACAAACTCTGGATGTTGGAGTCTTGAGAGCCGTTGGTTGAAGATGGCAGATTGAGGCCGCTCAGTGAACCTAGACCACTCAGACCTGGGGGAAGGCAGGGCCGTTAGGTTGGGTTTCGGTGTTATTGTCGGGGTCGGGGTCGGTGGTGGTGATGAGAGTTACAACAATTATTTAATGACAACAATCCTACATCTAATCCTCATCATAATAACAATCATCAGTATAATAATGATAGTAGTAATGATAATGATAATGATAATAATAATAATAATAATAATAATAATAATAATAATAATAATAATAATAATCACATCATAATCATAATAAAAAACAAAAGACTCAATCATGATCACATCCAAAATCAGTGAGTGTGTGTACACGCACTCGCACACGCACACAGGTAGTCCCCCAGCGACACCATGGAATCTCACCTGAGGAATCGAACATCTGTTGCGTGGCCAGGTTGCCCTGGGAGGCGGCCAGCAGCTGCTGCACGGACACGTTGTTGAGGGAAGGAAGCTGCTGTATGCTGCCCAGCTGGCTCGCCAGGCTCCCAGCTGTGGCACCTGAACCAGCTGAGTTACCCATCTGCTGCTGGAGCAACTGTAAGTAGGCCTGATCATTAAACAATGTTAATGCACGATTTTTTACCTCCCATTTTTTGAGTGAGATTAAAACTTTTTTTTTTAATGTGGTTAAGTTACTTAAAAAGGAGGATGTAAGGGGGTATATCAAATAAAAAAACAAAGGAAAAAGTCTTAATTAGGAGTTGAATTAATATATAAAATCATAGGAGGAATGTTAAAGAGGCAAAGGAAAATGACGTAGTACTAAAGAGTTCACAACTAAAATATATTTTAAAATCTTTAAGAAATTATCTGAAGCAAAATTCTGAGGCATTTATCGCTGGCTAATTAATGTTTTTTTTCACATCATTAAAATAATTAGTGGCCTGATCACCTTTTGTCACTTCAACTTGGGGCGTGTTACTCGAGAGAAAATCTGGAGAGAAAGTTTAAAATGGGCTCTTGTGTCGCTTATCATTTATAGAACGAAATGTTAATTGACTAACAAGGATTAATTGCGTATAGTACAGAGAACATATTATTTTTTACATTTTTAATAACTAATATGAACATCCAGTCACATAAAACAAAAAAATATAGTACAGAAAAGGATTAGTAATGCTGACTATTATTAGAAATGATTAAATGCATCTTTATAATGCGAACTGCTTCGTTAAATTATTTGCTGCGATTTGCAATTTAAACATACATATATACAAATGTGTTTAGTTATATCCATCTCATCTCTTGCAAATCACTAGTTGCATCTTTATACAAGCCGGTTAATTGGTTAACATCCCAACCTTATTATTATTAATACTCATTGTTCTATCCTTTCTCTTTTTTCCCAGTCCAAACGATTCAAAACTGGAAAGTAAGTCTGTTAAAAGAATCAAAGCAAACGACGAACGGACACATTGCTATCAAATCACCACAGAGACTAACACTTAGTCAAAGTTAAGAATACCTAAGGCGAATCCGACACCAGATAGTTCACATTCATCAATACTTGACTTGACTTGCTATGAAATCTAATACATTTCAAATAAACTCATTACTCTAAATCAAGATGCTGACTTCAACATTTAGTGGAACTGGACACAAGAGAGACCAATGTTAGTTGGTGACAATATAGTGTTAAAAGTGAATAACGAAAGAAATAACAATGATAACCATATGGAAATATAAAGTAAAAAGGGGCAAATTATAATTATTTTTCAAATGAAATATGAGGGAGAGAGAGAGAGAGAGGAGTGCAAGAGAGGGAAAAATGAGTGAGACAGAGCGAGAGACGAAAGAAGATTCAATTACGAGTTAAAATACCGAACACCGAACATGTACTCTTGCATGAAAAGTTCTATATATTAATACCTTTTAAAATTAACAGAGCGTCAGTTAAACCTTACCTCACAGACAAGTAAAGACGGTTTCAAAAGGAAGAACACAGCCAAGCCCAGAGCACAGTTCGAAATATCCCACTCTAATAGCAAAATACTTTGGTAATTAGCAAAAGCAAACAACGGTGTTTGTCTCATTCTTTTCGAAATTCTATAACGGGGAAAAACAACAGCTAACGAGCTATGGCATGTTCCTCCCTCTTTACATATTTGCATTGCCCATTATCCTAATTGGGAAGCCATTGTCCTCACATCATCTTAATAAGATTCTAATGTTTCTTTTTAAATTGAATAAGGTTAAAAATACTTATATGTCCTACTTAATTCGGATAATTACCAAGTGAAAGGGAATTTAAGAAACTGAAATTCCGGGAGAGAATTAAATATTTTTGATGACGTGACAACAAGGACTGGCTTCTCGAAAGGACGTCTGATTAATGTACACATATTGTAAGAACATAAATAAATCAAAGAGAGTGATTAAGCTTATACAAATACATAAATAAAGTCACTGGAACTGGTAAAGAAACTCTATATACAATAGATAAACATCTTGTCATGCCCTTAAATCATATTACGAAACACGATCTCTACAGGCATAGAAAAAAAATAAATGTTACAACTTTCATCTCACAAATAACAATCCTCGAACATAATATACACAACAACATTATATTAAAAAAAAAACAAGAAGTAGAAAAAATACATAGATGAATGCTCTTAATCTTAAAAAAAACACAGAATCTATCTCTGCCTAAGCACATACAGAAAGGAAATGCATAGGAGCATCACACTCACAGCCAGATACTGAGGCCCTTGTGCCACCAGGTTGTTAGCTGAGGAAACGCTCTCTCTCCTGCGCTCTCTCTCTCTCTTCAAGCAGACAAAGAAACACTTAGCAGGAAAGTATGTTCCTAACTTGAGATATTTAGTCTGTAACATCTCTCATTCAGACCAAAAAAATGGCACTGGGTTAAAATTATTTCTTTGATTACAAAAAAAATAAGATTCAGGATTTAATTGGGGAGTTCCATTACCATTTCTAATGAGAGAAGAAAAACAAATTAAGAATTTAGTTGTAATGACCTTATTCGTTCAAAAGACTCATGATTAGTAAATATATATCAGGATTTTTAAAATGGTAACCGTTTTCTCGGTACCTACGAAACATGTATGGACCACAAACTCTATTTTTCTCCATTATTTTCATCATTCACATCCTTTGGGCATCTAACATGCATACAAAGCAGGTCTATACCTAAAGCCATTTATCTCTCACTCATTCTTCTGTTGGTTCCCGATTTCCTTCGCGTTATAACTAATCAATAAATACTATGATCTATATTCGTAATTTCTTTATATCAAACTACATCACGTTAATAATTAAATAAAACAATTTGCTTTTATCAACGGGGGCCATGATTAACCAATTATGAATAATGTTTCATTATATGTGTTGAATTATGGACAGAACTTGAACTGATATCTGTAAAGATAGTTATCTTTTATTAGAAAAAAGCAATAGCTAATAAAAAAAGGCTGTCTATTTGCCTGGTTCAAACACTTGCTAAATGGGGCTGAATTGACCATGAGACAAACAAGCTTATTAAGTAAAACCACTGATACACAAGATGTGTGGTGTTAATTTTTTGACTACGAAACTACTTTATTTATCAAACAGTCAGTCGGGTTCAGCTTCCTAATAGAATATCTACCTCATCATGCATAATCATTAATAACCACAAACCTATTATAAAACAGAACATCACTATACTCCAAATTGGCCCAGAACAAATGTATTTACATGAAAAAAAACATTCACTATCAGTACCTAACACATTCCCATTGGGTGAAAATTCTATATTTGAAATTTCCCATCTACAAAAAATTTCAAACACCATACATCAACACACACCCACTACCCTACTACCATCAGATAACTTGTGATTCATTCCCACGCTTATTCAATTAAATCTTATGATTAAAAAAAAAAAAAATCTTTTCTCAGACGCTCAACATTTTAACTTCTTTTGACCCAGGAAAAGAACTCTGGGAAATAAATTCTTCCGAAAAAATCGTGATGTACATCAGTCTCACTCGTCCATTCACGTCTTTTTCCCTTCTTTATTTGCTTGTCTCTCTCTCTTACTCATTCATCCTCACGCTTTTCTCTTGCTTCTTCGGTTATCTTGCATTTTTCTCCTCATTCATGCTTCTTCTACTGGGCCGATTTCTGAAGCACTTTTTCATCACATGGATAGATACTGAAAAACTCTCTTCAGTCCTAGGTTGCCTTCGAGACTACAACCAGCTTCTGTACACCTCTACATTAGACATTAATCATTATACAACCTAAGCTTCTTGTATCCTAACACCAGAAAATAGCTTATCTTTGCTTATACAAAAAAAATACTCTTTTACTGCACATTACTACATATTTTAAAAAGAACAAAAA